GATCTCCTAGTCCTCACGAGCGCGTAGGATTTCGCGGATCTTAATTTGGATATCGTTTGAACCCCGAACGGTTCTAGCCTACTGTGCAATTTTCGGGTCCAATACGTTTGAACCGTTGGATCGTAGTTAATTCCAAGTATGTTAATCTAGACTTTCCCAAGATCGTATAGTATTTGACGGATCGTAAAACGGAGTCTTGGATACTCTAGGAATGTCAGCCCTAGAGTGAGGTTTACAGATAATTAAACCAGTTACAAAATAACGAACCAGTTGCAGGTCAAAAACAGAGGAAAGAACTACGTGTGGCTTGATTCCTCAGTAAGGGTACGTAGGCAGCCTATAGTTGTCAGGCGCAGCCACGAGTTAGGCCCCCAGAGTTTGTGTTATCATTTTCAGGGCATTTTGGTCATTTACGACCCACGGTTACCAGGTGTCAGTTTTAAACAGGTGTCGACCCGGATTCCAAAGTGGAAATTGGGTCATGTCGTTTCACATTATGTGTAGTTTAAACTTAAAGTCCCAATATATTTCGAAATTCGGAAGTTTCAGAATCTTGAGATACATTCCAATTCCAATCCTTTTTTTGTTGTTGGAATTTTCGGATTTTGTAACTTTTTGATATTGGAATTGATTTCGCCAAAATTGGAAAATTTTAGATTGGAAGCGAAATTTCCAATCCAACTTACACCCCTAAGACTATCACCTTGTATTACCAAAAAAATAGTTCTTTAGCTAGAAAAAAAAAGGTACGATACAGCGTGTGAAAGCACTCTTATAGAAGGAATTGGCATGTCACGGGCCTATATTCCTCTTATCTCTCCTTATGTGACTCATTACATTATGAGAGGCAATAGAACATATATATGTTCCATATAGAGGTGGGCGTGGTCCGGTCCAGTTTTCACCTTACACTCGAATCGAAGCTAGTAATATTCAATTGATACGGTCCAGTTTTGTATGGTGTGAAACTGGTATCGGAACCAATTTGAACCAGTCCAATCCGATTCGGCACTGGTTTGTTGAATTTTTAGTCAACACGATTTTTTTGTAGTTTTTTCCATCAAATGCGGTTTGGTGTTCTGATTTTCCAGTCTCGATGCCCACCACTATGCAAGTTTTTCTGTGTTAGCTAGATGGCTCAGCCCTTTCTAATGTGAGTGGTTGATCAATTCTTGTCTGATAATAAGCAATTAAGCATTTTCCTAATTGAAGTGACATACAAATTAGTTTCCTCCACGTATTTGCTTCTCTCATGTAGCTTAAAAACCAAACCTTGGAATTAATCATTTGTGTTCTCTGAAACTATTTGTATTTTATACTTTATCTAGCACTCATAGCTAGCAATGAGATGAAGGTAGTTCACAAAAAGGAAGAAAGAGAGAGAACCCCAGCAATTAATATTATTACAAACGTTATTATAACTTGAAGAAGGGGCAGAGAAGACAAAACAACCTACATAATATGCCATGTCTGGCCAGACTGCTAGCCGTAACAATCAACATTGGTAACTTGATTTTCAATCTGTTCCAAGGCGAAAACAGAATGGTTGGGCACGTAATGGCAACCCCTTTAGAAAATGGGATTTGTCAATGACCACATACTCTTTCTTTCTTTCGGCATCCAAATATTTTGTTTGTCGTGTTTCTCTGTCTTTCTTATCATTTTGGCTTTGGCCAGCTGAAGGAACTGAATCAGTAGTTTTGGAGATGGAATTTTAGGTCCGTCGTCACGAAAAATAGTGAATTGATGTTTGAGACCACGTAGTCTTTGGATGATGGAAATGCTTATGGTATCCTCACTTGTTTCATTTTAAAAGAAATTTTCCGCTATTTAGACTGTCATTAATCATATTTAACTAATTAGAATGGCGGGGCACGTGTCTTCCCAGAGCTTAAGGCGGCCCTGCAGCCAGTTCAATCCTTCTTCAGACTGCAAAAAGAAATATATATATAATATAGGAATTGGTGGATTTTGAAGCAACTTGAAGCGGTGGATAACTTTGATGAAAAAATAAAGTGAAAGGAATCTACATGGATATGGTTATAAATGCTCAAACCCAAGAAAAATAGAAAGGAATACGTTATCCCAATATTCACTCATAACAAAGACAAAGGTGAAAAATAGTGTATTCGGAAGTAAGGTGGGTTTGGTGGTGTTCTAATAGTGTTCGGGAGTTAGCTCTCGAATAGTATTAGAGTGTTTTGTGATAGAGTGTATTAGAGTATACCATGTGTATTTTTGATAGCTAAATAGAGTGTACTTAGTTAATTTTATATTTTGATTATAATATTAGGATGTAATTAGATTATAGAGTGTATTCAATTAATTTTAAGGTTCGTTTAGCAGTACTCATAATTTTATTCATCTTATTGACACGAGCTATTCCTCCTAATTAAGATTATGATTTATTTCATAATTAAGTTTGTACAGTTGACTTATTCTGGTGTAACTAATTTCTTTATTGAAAACACAATGTAACTCTATGTTTACTTGGAGAATAAATATAAGAGAGAGGTTTTCCAGTCGTATTTTCTTTTAACAAATCTTTCATTATTTTCCTAGAATATTGCATGTGGAATGAATGTAGAGACGGACAAGTGTTGCTTATCTGGTACGAAGAAGCTTATTGTCAATGTAGACTATTACCGTCTTATCCAGGATCTGACACCATCAGTTCACCTTATCACCTTCAGTGTCCTTTTGTGACAGTCAACATTACAGTTTGTTTCGAATTTTAATTTGTGAGAAAATGATATGTAAACGACTCTCTAATCAGGAAGGAGTTCAAATTCAAATACTAGTGGAGGAGGCGGGCACACCGTCATAGTCAATTAGTATAATTCACATGATCATTTTTACAGGGTTGGTTATGAAATTACTTGTAGGATGATTAAAAATGCCTAGAAAGGGGTGAATAGGCTAATTCGAGATTATTAACAATAAATAAAAATAGACTTTTGAAGCAAGATTGATATGGTTTATCAATCCTGAAATGTGCAAAACTTAAAGTAAACGAACATGCAAATATTTATTTTAGATGGTAAAACCCCACTTCTGGGGAAAATCCACTAGACTCCTTAGTTCAAACCAAATCCACTATAGAATAAAGACTACAAGAAATACTCGCACACTTATCCTAGATGCAATCTAGATAAGGTTTACCGACTTATTCGTAACTCAACTTCTATCACGGGATGATCTTCGACACTTCTTATGTTGAACTAGTCGCGATTGGTTCAAGCTTGCCAGAGGATAAATGCCACAATAATGGTCTTGGTGCTCTCAAACGTATGAGTCACCGACATGCATATGAATGCAATATGAATGATGAAGGGATTTGATAAATCACCAAGTAAACAAGGAACACTTGATGACTTATTAGAAAAATTTGCATAGCAGCTTTCGATTAAAAATTCAATATGCTCAAAAAACAATATGTCGAAAGCTGTGTTTTTCAAAAGTGAGGCATACTTCTTTTATGCAAAACTCATTCTCCCTAGTCATATGATAACAAAAGAGTCCACAACGCTCTTCAATTATGACTCTCTAGTTTAATCCCATATGAGCTCAAGTCAAAGACGTTAAAACAGGAGACCAAATACTATTCAATTATGAATATTAGCTTTGATTCAATATGGACTCTTAAGTGATGACACCAAACAACCACTATTTTGTGGAGCAAAAATATCTCCTAAAACAAGTTAATTAGGAGATGAGGACCGTGCACATCACTATAGGAAACACTGATATTTTAACTTAAATCACAATGGCATGGAAAATAACTTCAACTATGAATCCTATTGTGAATGCATGATTATGTCATGATTTACCTGAAATCAAGTTTCTCATATCGATCAAGTCATGCTTCGAAAATCCGGGATTGAATGTATTACGCCAAAACTTCCAGTAAACATTATTCACAAACTACTTCCCAATCTATGCTAGAATCTAGGAAATGCCAATACAATTTTCGTACTAACAATCTTCCCCTTTGACATTTCCTAGACAAAATACTAGATTACATTGTAGACATGTTTACGAGAAGAACCTATACATCCTAATTTGCTATGCCCAACAAACATCCAATTCGTGTAACTTCTACACACCAACAAGCAGACTATCAGTGAAGCTTAATAGACTTAGAAAATAAGAAACAGAACTTGACATAATTAAACAACAATCCTTCATATGTTAGGAGGTTAAGCAAGTCACTACACGTTCTGATCCCATAAACAAAACAAAAAGTTATCTCCCCCTAAATATCATGTTTCTACTTTCGACAGTCAAGTTACTCCCCCTAAATCCCATATGTAACACAAAATATTCTCCCCCTTTTTGTTTAGGAAATCTAAAGGAACACAGAGATAACTACAAAGGATGAACAAATCCAGAAGCGGAACATATGAACCTTAGAGTCTGCAAGCCCGAGTAAAGACGGGGAGGATCAGGTGGTTGAATATGCCTAGTAGGTGTCAGCAGCAGCTAACCACAGGTGTCAAGGCGATCCCAGATGTGGTGAAGAAGCGCATGCGTCACTTGATGGGATGCAGAGAGCGAATCCAAAAGAGCCTATTGCTCGATGGAGAAACTACCATAAGTATAGTGAGCATCACTGCGATGTAAAGTAACATGATTGTTGACTTAATGAGCCATCATTTTTAGCTTAAATCGTATTTTGCACTAAAACCGATTTTTCATATTTTGATTTGGTAGGAATTTGATTTTTTAGAATTTTTATTTGAATCCAAATGGGTACTTCCGCCGGTGGTCACATGACTAGTTTACCTCATTCTCAATCGCGATGAATTATAATATGGATGTACTAATCCTCTATAGAAATGGCATTTTCTGTAGTGAATACTGTGATAACTTGATTGAATTGATTACACAGAGAAAAATTAGACAGCGCAGAAGATAATGATAACATGATTGAATTGATTACACAAATACATATTTAAATAATTTTTTTTTTTAAAGTTGTATTAGCAATGCATCTAGAGCTACACCGTGTCCACATCCATGAATTCTGAATCATTTCCCATGGCCTCCAAGGTCTCAGCCAAAATACAAGATTCAATATCAATACTGCCTTCTTCAACCCCAGCAAACACTGTAATCTTCCCATGTGACTTATTCCCAGCACCGTTTGTCACCACAACTGGCCTTTCCCAACCAAAGTCATTGCCATTCACATTGAACCTCGGCGAGCTGCTTGTGACTAAAGCATTAGCAGCCATATTGTCTTCTGTAAGCAACTTGGGCTCTTGCACCCAACACTCCAAGAAGCTTCTCAGTTTCTCTTCCGTGTGCAAAGCCACCATCTTGTTCATTTCCCAAGCCACAAAACCAAGCCCACGTTCCAGAACCTCCCCAGCTTTCATGGTCACTGTCCTTGACTATAATTGCAAGAGAAAGAAAATAAAAATCAAGCAGCCAGACTGGCCGTGAACTCTGCGTCGTGTGCCAAAGCTTGTAGTGTCTGAGGCAAAAGGCAAGCTTCAAAATCAATACTTCCATCTTCAGCCCCAGGATACACAGTCAACTTCCCATCAAATTTGTTCCCAACGCCACTTCGAACGGCCAGAGGCCGTCCCCAACCAAAGTCGTTGCCAAACACATTGAACCGCGGTGAGCTTCCTGTCAACAATGAGTTGCTTGCCAAGCCATCAAGCTTTGGCACTTTAGGATCTTTTATCCAACCCTCCAACAGCTTCCTTACATCTTGTTCTGTTTGTGAAGAAATCGTCTTGTTCATTTCCCAAGCCGCCCAGCCTAGTCCGCGCTCAAGCAACTCGCCTACTGTGGATGTTACTATGCCGAATAGAACAGCATTTCCAAGGTATTGGTCTGGCAATGGTGGCTGCAATCTCTGCCTCATGCCTACTAGCACTTTGTACTGGGTCTCTTGATCAGTTTCGAGACGCTGGTTGCGAGTCACGGACACCCAAAGATGAGCCAAGAGTGCTTGAAGGGATGAGATCCTGGTGGTGCCCATTTCGGCATTGGCTTTCGCTTTGAGCTTTGCAATTTTTTGCTTGGAAAAATGGAACACTCTTTGTTGAAGAAGTGGTGCTGAAAACCTAATTTTCGGGATTTTGTTTTGAAAGTTTGGAAGGCGAACCGGGAGATCAATCATGCCGTTGAGAAATTCGCGGCCAAAAGCAGGAGGAGGTTGCAAAATTTTGCCACAATTAGTACTACCACGTCGAGAGATTTCAGACCAAGTGTTGAAGAAATGCCAGAATGATGACCCATCAACAACAGAGTGGTTCATTGTGCAACCTATGAAAATGCCATCAACCAACTCAGTTATTTGCACTGCAAGCAGGGGTTTGGATCCACTGCCTTCGTAGTTCAAAACCCCATTCATCAGAAAGAATGAGTGAACAATGTCATCAGGAACCAAAACAGAGTCAAGGATATCGGCCACCGTGACACCATCGGCAACTGCATGGACAAACTCAGCTCCGGCGCCATTGCAGTCTACGGAGAAAGAGGTGGTGTTGTCGTCCTCATTTTCGGTAATTGCAAGACGGCCAGCAAGGGGATAGAAGATGTCTAAGGTGAGGGAGAGGGAGTGTTTTAGGTGTTCAGTCAAGCTTGTGATGGGGTCTTGCTCATAGGTACTGGATTTTGGTTTGTGGAAGAGAAGGCCCTTTTGGATGTGATCTAATAGGATGAGCTGTAGATCCCATGGAGTTAACTCAATCCTCTGCGTAAGTTCATTGTGGAATGTGGGTTGAACAATGGTCGTGGAGATGAAGCGAATGTATCCCATCTAAGATTATTTCTCTAAATTTTAACTGGACAGGCTTAACTATTGATACTTGGCTTGGCTGCATGTAAACTTATATATATTATATGTGTTGGTGAATACAAATTGACTAACTTCACTGTAAAGGAAGAGGAAGAGGAAGAGAAATACAAATTGACTACCATCATGCAACATAACCAAAGACAAGGAAGTATGCTGAAGATAAGGAATGATGATGAATTACGTATTTAAGTATTATAATAATTGTTGATTTCATTCCTTTGGTTATACAAAGGAAGAGCAACGAGGAGTAAAAGGTGTGCTATGATAGGAGAATTTAGAGAAAGTTATCGTGTCACCATATCAATTAGTGATACTTTCATTTAAAATTTATTATGTGTCATTTTTAAAAACAATTAAAACTTTAGTTTACAACTGGACATAAAACCCAATTATAACCCTTTGAAATAAAATTAAACAAATCATAAATCATAAAATAAATAATAAAGTTAAAAATAAATAAATCAAATAAAATAAAAAGAACTGCCCACAGTGATGGATCTAGTAATTTTTCAGAAAAGTGGCAATATTTAAAAGGATAAAAGCTCATAAAAAAATTTAGACTACCAAATGCCCTTAAATTTTATAAATACTATTGTCATTCATAATTTATCAAAATTCATTTAAATTATTAATTAATCTAACATAAATTAATATGAATTAATCTAATAAAAATGCATATCAAATTATCAATTAAACAAACAAATTAAAATGCATACCTCGAGTTGTATGCCGCGCAACATCTTCAAGTTTACTACTGATATAAAGAGCTAAATTAGAAACAAATAATATAAAATATATATTATAAAAAAGAAAAGAAAAAAGCTAAACCAAAAAGACCAAACCAAAAAAAATACTTGAGAATAAATTTATTTTTTTTTTAAAGAAAAAAAAAAGTGATGATATATTGCAAAAGGCCAAAAAAGAGTAGGCATGGGTACGGTCTGGTTTGGATCGGTTCTTACATCAACTCGAAATCGAAATCAATATTGTTCACCTATCTAGTCCGATTTGGATTTTTACTAAAATATTTGAGAAAATCGGATCAACCTGGACCGGTTTAGATTCGGTTCAATTTCAATTTTTACGGTTTGGGCCAACTCTTCAGCTCAGTTGAATATTTTTGTTCTTAAATTTTTTGAAGTTTCAGCCCAATTGAAATTTAAAAACTTTTGGGCCTAATTATTCACGATTGGCCCAATTCATATCACCGCATTGCAAAATGAATGAAGCCATCAAGCATTAATACAACTTTTTTACAAAACAACAAATATCAAGCATTAATATAAAACTTACAACCTTAAAACAAAAAAATCAAATTTAATTACAAACAAAATAAAGCAAATTTAATTACAAACAAAAATTAGTACCCCAAAAAAAAATTACAAACAAATTGCAGAGAGCTCGACCTCATTGTGCTGCTCTATATACCTCTGCATCAAAGGAAAAACAATGTCAATTTGAAATATAGATCTTACCAGAATAATTTAATTTAAGAAAATAATAACTGACAGAAAAACTCTACACAATTTTATTTTTTTTGGTCAAAAAACTCTACACAATTAGGTAAAGAAGATTTTGATTCTTTTGACCACATGCATATTCTTTTCATCTTACTTTTCTTTCAAAGAACCTCACCCTTTTTCTCTCATACAAATCTCCGTTTCTTCTACAACCCAAACAAGCTACGAAAACCCATTTAGCACTCTCAAAAATACTGCCAGAAAAAATCGCTATTATGGGGCAAGAGTTTTGTTTTACATGGGAGAGATGTTCCTTTGGATAACCTGACAAAAAACCATGTCTCGTTTGGGCCAATGAGTGATGTTGTGAAGAGAAGGAAAAAGCTTCCCTTTGACAACGTAAATTAAAAGGATAAGAAGTTGAAGAAGAAGAATAGGAAGAGGTTGTTGGGTTTATATTTTTCAATTTTTTGCTTGATTTTTGGTTTTGCTTGAATTAATAATTAAAGGGTATTTTAGGAATAATGGTGGGTAGAAAGATAGGATTGTATTTTTTCAAATTTACATGGTGAATGGAAGAATATGATAAGAGGTTGGAAATAGCAACACTCTTTTATTATATTCTTTTGATAATTTACGTATTTTATTACTATTAGAATAATGCTACTCTTACCACATTTGTATACCACATTCCTATACCATCTTATGTGGCAGATGAGGTGAACAACCATATCAATTAAAATTTACACTTACCACATTATTATCCCACATTTCTATACCACATGATATGGCATGTCCATATCATATGTCATATCAATTAAATGAATGAAGTGTATTTAATAAATAAAATTAGAAAAACAGAAACTATTATTTTACATAATGTGGTATGTACACATCAGCCGCCACATTATGTGGTATAAAATTGGAATAATACTAGTCTTACCACATTTTTTATACCACAATTTTATATCACATGATGTGGCGGCTGATGTGTACATACCACATCATGTAAAATACTAGTTTCTATTTTTCTAATTTTATTTATTAAAATACACTTCATTCATTTAATTGATATGACATATGATATGGACATGCCACATAATGTGGTATAGAAATGTGGGATAATAATGTGGTAAGTGTAGTATTAGACTAGTATTATTCATTAAGTATTGGTTAAAGAATCCACCACCAACCCTTCTTTCTAGGGTAACATGGTAACATGATATTCTGCATATATAAATTTAAATCGGTCGACCAAAAGTTTCAATAATCGAGTCCTGCTTTGTTCAAGAATAAAAAATGGGAAACGTTCGCTTCATCTCCACCACTACAGTTCAACCCACAACCCACAAAGACGAGTTTACTCGTAGAATTGAGTTAACTCCATGGGATCTGCAACTTCTCCTGGTAGATCAAGTCCAAAAAGGCCTTCTTTTCCACAAACCTTCTTCCACTTATGAGAATGAAGACCTGAAGAACGGTTTGGTCCAACACCTAAAGTCCTCTCTCTCCCTCACATTGGATATCTTCTATCCCCTTGCTGGCCGTCTTGCCATCACTGAACATGAAGACGACAACAGCTCCTCTTTCTCCGTCAACTGCAATGGGGCCGGAGCAGGGTTTGTCCATGCAGTTGCCGATGGTGTCACGGTGGCCGATATCCTCGACCCAGTTCTGGTCCCTGATGACATTGTCTACAGCCTCTTTACCATGAACGGGGTTTTGAACTACGAAAGCGTGTCGAATCCCTTGCTCGCAGTGCAAGTAACTGAGCTGGTTGATGGCATTTTCATAGGTTGCACAGTGAACCACTGCGTTGTTGATGGGTCAATATTCTGGCGTTTCTTCAATACTTGGTCTGAAATCTCTCGAGATCACGGTTTTGGTAAGATTTCTCAACCTCCTCTCATTTTCGGCCGCGAGTTTCTTGATGGCATCATCGATCTCCCAGTTCGTATTCCCTTCTTCCACAATCAGATCCCTGACAAATTTCTACCACCGGGGTCCCTTCAACAAAGAATGTTTCATTTTCCAAAGGAAAAACTTGCACAACTCAAAGCCAAAGCCAATGCTGAGATGGGCACCACCAAAATCTCATCCCTTCAAGCACTCTTGGCTCATCTCTGGGTCTCCATAACCCGCAACAGACGTCTCAGCCCTGATCAGGAGACCAAGTACCTCTTATTGGTAGGCCTGAGGCAAAGATTTCAGCCATTACCTGAAGAATACCTTGGAAATGCGGTTCTATTGGGCACGGTGACGTCCACTGTAGGTGATTTGCTCAAGCAGGGACTAGGCTGGGCGGCTCTGGAGATGAACAAAATGATCGCTTCCAAGACAGAACAAGAAGTTCGAAAGCATTTGGAGGAATGGGTAAAGAGTCCCAAACTGAGCAAAATGGGTACCTTGTCAGTCAACTCATTGGCCACTGGAAGCTCACCGCGGTTCAATGTGTTTGGCAATGACTTTGGCTGGGGAAGGCCTCTGGCTGTAAGAAGTGGTGCTGGAAACAAGTTTGACGGGAAGTTGACGGTGTTTCCTGGGGCTGAAGATGGAAGTATTGATTTTGAAGCTTGCCTTTCGTCTCAAACACTGCAAGCTTTGGCACAGGACGCTGAGTTTATGGACAGTGTGGCTTAGAGAGAAAATTAGGGACTCCAATAACCTATTAGTGAATTAATAATAAAGTTTCCATGTCTTTGACTGATTTGTTGGTTTCTAAATTGTGCTCATGTTTTATCTGCTATTCCATTCAAAGCCCCGGTAGTTTAGATTAGTTCTCTTGTTTTATTAAATAGTTTGTGTTAAAAAGTAATTATGATTAAGAAAAGCCAGTGTTTGCAACAGGGAATTCAAATAATACTTCGGTAGTCTGTCGGTGAAAATTCCAATGACACTTTGATAGTAACCCTCACTTCCCTTTCTAACTTAGACAAAACAGAAAAAGCTAGTGCCCCACATGAATAAATATCTCCATTTGAGAATGCGAAGGGAAAAAAATCCCACATTAGTTGTACCCTTTTATCATCGTGACATTAGTCAGTCTCCACTCACCACCCACTCCTCAAAGAGACGATCCTTGTTTGATACGATGAGAACAGATTCCTGATGTTAGACAGTAATAATAATATAAATAAAATACATTATTGATGTGATGAGGCCAAATAATTTATTTATAAATTTTTAGAAGAAAATTAGGTTTGGATCCTATTGGATGTTTGTTTTTGGGATAAATTTTATACGGTTTGGTTCGGGCCCATCTCTTCAATCGCAACAACCTTGTCGATGTTGAATCTCCTCCATCTAAAATGAAGTCACATGTCATTGCTTGAATCATTGAAAATAGCGGTGGCCCTTTATCACTAACTTTTCAATCAGACATTTGTTGAAGTAATGAAAAAGTAATAATAATTTTATATAAAGAAAATCACGTTATACATGCCTGCACTGGGATGTAGCTATTTATCACCATCAGATTCAACAGCTTAAACATTTAAACGCTGTGCTGTCCAAATTGGGGGAAAATGACTCAGATTCGGCATATCTCCACAAGTACCATCCGACCAACAATTGAGAATGATCACTTAGCTCATAAAATTCAGTTAACTCCATGTGATCTGCAGCTCATCCAAATCTATTACAACCAAAAGGGACTTCTCTTCCACAAACCAGCAGATCAAGAACAGAGCAACGACTTGGTACAACTCCTAAAAGCCTCCCTTTCCCGCACCCTGAACATCTTCTACCCACTTGCTGGCCGCCTAGCCCCGATCGAAAATGAAGATAACAACACCACATGTTTTTTCATCAACTGTAATGGCGCCGGAGCCCTGTTCGTCCACGCAATTGCTGACTGTGTCAAAGTGGAAGTGGCCGATATCCTTGACCCTCTTTGCATTCCTGATGAAATTGTGTACCACCTCTTTCCCTTGAATGCAGTTCGGAACTATGAAGGCATTTCAAAACCATTGCTTGCGGCGCAAGTAACTGAACTGGTTGATGGCATCTTTATCGGTTGCAGCATAAACCACGCGGTTGTGGATGGTACTTCTTTCTGGCATTTCTTCAATACTTGGTCTGAAATCTCTCGTGCTGGCTCTAATAACATTTCTCAACCTCCTCCCTTTTTTGGTCGCCAATTTCTTGACAGCGTAATTGATCTCCCAGTTCAGTTACCCTTCTCCTATGGTGAAATTACAAGGAAGCTTGTTAGGAGGTCTTCAGAGTCATTACAAAGGGTACTCTTTCATTTTTCAAAACAAAAGGTAGCAGAGCTCAAATCGAAGGCCAATGCTGAGATTGGCATCAATAACATCTCATCCCTCCAAGCCCTCATGGCTCATCTATGGCGGGCTGCAACCCGTAGTAGACATCTCAACCCTGATCAAGAGGTTATTTATGTGGTTATGGTGGGATTGAGGCAAAGATTGAAGCCACCATTGCCAGAAGAATACCTCGGGAATGCGGTTAAAGCGGTTCTTGTCAAGTCCACTGCTGGAGAGCTTCTACATCATGGACTAGGCTGGGCGGCTTTACAAATAAACAAACAGGTTGCTTCCCTAACAGCTGAAGAAGCGCGGAAGTCCTTGGAGGAATGGGTGAAAACCCCAATATTTGTTTCAAATATAAGTAATATTTCAACAAGTTCTGCATTGCTTGCCGGAAGCTCGCTGCGATTTAACGTATTTGGGAATGATTTTGGGTGGGGGAGGCCACTTGCTGTGCGAAGCGGAGCGGCAGACAAAACAAATGGGAGGCTAACAGTGTTTCCTGGGGCTGAAGAAGGAAGTATTGACGTTAAAGCTTGCCTTTTTCCAGAGGCTCTACAAGCTATGAAGGACGACAAAGAGTTTATGGAGGTCGTGCTACATCATGGCTGGTCTATTGATTTTGAAGGCCCAGGCAAAAATAAAAATTGAGTTTATTTATTAAAGTTGTCAGTATTTCTATTTGTGTTTATTGATTTACATTAATTTCATGTGAATTTGTTATTGTATTTTATTATTACAATTTTATTAAGAATTATTATTATCTTTAAATTCATATTTCCGATTGTTCCGCCAACAAAGTGTATATGAGAAGACGAGCACAAGAAGCCAAGGGCTTACTAAAAGCAACAAAAACAAAGCCTTCAATTTGAGCTAAAAAAATCAACAATCTTGTACCGGCACAAATTTTACCGAGCCAACAAAGTGTCCAAAGGCAGCTCACAGAAAGTAGACATTGATCAAGTCCAGCAATACTCGAACTTGCAATAAGTACCTTGACCAGAATAATATGATTGTATCTTACAAAATCAATGGACATGATTCTTTAAGAAAATACTAAAATTTCAATAATTCAATTGAGTGGTCAAATGATATCAGATTCAAATGATTTTTTGTAAAAATAATTTTTTGAATGAGTATCTACAAAATAAATGGTTAGGATTAGTAAAAAACAAACTGAGTATGCCCTACAAAGGTATTCCTAAAAAAAAACATATAAAAACAAAAGCCTAATCTCATGAGATTCCGGTTCGCTCGAGCATCGCAATGGTGCAAGGTAAGGTTCGGTGGTGAGATGCGGTGAGCTGATCTGTCCGGGACTTGAGGTGAATTAATCAACATTATTTTTTTCAATGCATTCAGTGATGCAGCACATCATTTGGGACCATGCTTATCATGGCCTCCTAAAAAATACACCCATCCCACTTAAAATAAATTATTTGCGTATCTGCTATTGATTTTATGCGTTTGTTTGTGCGTATCTGCTATTGATTTTATGCGTAGGGCCATGAGCCAGTTTGAGTATAATGGAAATGCCATAGCCTTTTATAATGAGTACCACATTCCATCACAATCACCAAAGCTTCAACATTTTATAATGTGTTCATTTATTGTTGAGCCCATGCACAGTGAAAATAAGGTGTAGCTTTCTATATAACTTTGTTCCATCATCTTCAATCAATCAGGGAAAAATGACTCTTCAGATCTTACATATTTCCACAACCACGGTCAGACCAACAACTCAGGAGGATCTATTAACGGCTCCTAAAATTGAGTTAACTCCATGGGATCTGAGATTAATCCAATTTGATTACATTCAAAAGGGGATTCTCTTCCACAAATCAGCTGAGACAGAAGACAGCAATGTCAGCTTGGTACAACGCCTAAAAGACTCTCTTTCATGCACCTTGAACACCTTTTACCCGCTTGCTGGCCGCTTGGTTGTATCTGAAAATGCTGAAGATAGCACTGTTTCTGTCTCCATCAACTGTAACGGTGCAGGAGCCGAGTTTGTCCATGCAGCTGCTGGCGGCGTCAAGGTGGCTGATATCCTTAACCCTTACATTCCTGATCACGTCGTCTTCAACCTCTTTTCCTTAAATGAAGTTCGAAACTACGAAGGAGTTTCGAAACCACTTCTATCAGCACAAGTGACTGAGCTTGTTGATGGCATCTTTATCGGTTGCAGCCTAAACCACGTGGTTGCCGACGGTACTTCTTTCTGACATTTCTTTAATACTTGGGCAGAAATCTCTCGTTCTGGCTCCCATAAAATTTTGCAACCTCGTGCCGTTTTTGGCCGTCAGTTTCTTGGCGGGGTAATTGATCTCCCAGTTCACTTACCCTTCTCCTATCATGAAATCATTGGTAAGCCTATAATCAAATCGTCTTCTTTCGATGCTTTCTTACAAAGGGTAGTGTTTCACTTTCCCAAAGAAAAAATAGCAAGGCTCAAAGCAAAGGCCAATGCTGAGATGGGCACAACCAGTAACATCTCATCTCTTCAGGCACTCATGGCTCATCTTTGGCAAGCCACGACACGTGCCAGGCATCTCCAACCTGATCAGCAGGTTAACTATCGGTTTGCAATAGGGTTGAGGCAAAGATGGGAGCCTGAAACGTTGCCAAAAGAGTACCTCGGGACTGCGATTATAGGCGTTAATGTGACCGCCATTGCAAGTGAGCTGCTACAAAATGGACTTGGCTGGGCAGCTTCCCAAATAAACAAAAAAATTTCCTCCCTGACACCTGAACAAGCGAGGAATGACTTGGAGGATTGGGTAAAGAAACCTACACTTATTCCGAATATGAGGAACCCAACATTGTTGGCCAGATTACTTACAGGAAGCTCTCCTCGGTTCAATGTGTATGGTAATGATTTTGGGTGGGGTAGACCACTTGCTGTTCGAAGTGGAGCTGGTGACAAAATGGATGGGAAGTTAACAGTGTTTCCTGGGGCTGAAGAAGGAAGCATAGACATTGAAGCTTGCCTTTTGCCTGAGACTATACAAACTATGATGGACGATGCAGAGTTCATGGAGGCTGTAGCTTAAGTAATTAAGGGTATATATCCGAAGTCTTGTGTTTGATTTCTCACTCTCTAGTATCTCTTGTGTGAAAAATAAAAAAAAGTGTGCCCATTTGTGTAAGCCAAAGCAATAATGTATGTCAATGTGTGCAACTGAATAAAAAATTTGCCTGTGTGCACTATACCATATGGTGGGTGCATTTTGGTATTGCTCAGTTTCATCATAATTGAAAATTTTATAATCATATTTCCTTTAGGATCTGCGTTATTTCTCATTTTAATTTAGGGATTTTCAATATAAGAATAAATAAAATGAATGGTAGGGTATGTTTTTGGAATTCAATCAATCTCTCGCTTGTGTGACCAGAACTTAAATTCTTCAAAAATACTAGTCATATTACATTTATATACCACCTTGTTTTAAATAGCCAATAATTGAAGCAAATTGCTAAGCTAGGATTTTTGGCAAGAGGATGCCCAGCAAATGCAAAATATCTTTTTGTCGACAAAGCAAGCTAAAAGACATTGCTGATTCTTCTTGTTGCTCACAAAATTGCTAGCAAACCAAATACAAACATATAGCAAATCCTTACAACAAACCAAAGCAAAGAATAATTTGCTTTTGCTGCAAAAAGAATCAACTGTATCAAAATTATCTCTCCTTACTGATCAGACTGTGCGGCTACTCACCAAATATCCATCTCTTCCAATATAAAGCTAGTGAAGTGTGTTGGAAATTTAATAATATAATAGTTTATATTATAATATTTAATTTTATTATTGAATGAAAAATCTTAGGTTTGCTTTGTAGTTATTGTAACCAAGCCATTGCAAGTGTTGGTTGTCTTTTGAACAAGCCACCGTTTGGTATTTTCAGAAAATACCTGGTATTTTCAGAAAATACCATACAATTATGATAAGAAGTTGCATGTGTTGGAAACAGCCACGATGGTTTGTTTTAAGAATGATGTTTAGGTTTCATATAAACCCAACAGGTTCCTCCTTGTATATAAATTCTTACCCGTGGTGGAAAAACAGAGTATTCCCTAGTGCTGTAGTTTTACTATTGTGATCAATTATGAGTCTAATCTTGAGAGTACAAATATATAATTGGTTCGCCATAGTCTTAAATTGAAGTGCTTCAATTTAGTACAAGGACAAATAGGAGCGAAATCTGTCTTTAGGACATTGCAATTCTTGCAAGCTTCAATAGCTAAAGTTGTCAGTATTTCTATTTATGTTTATTGATGTACATTAATTTCTTGTAAATTTGTTATTGTATTTAATTATTACAATTCTATTGAGAATTGTTATTATCTTTAAATTCATATTATTTCCAATTTTTCCGCCAACAAAGTGTATATGAGAAGATGAAGTGGCTGATAACCAACATAGCCTAGGGCTTACTAAAAGCAACAAAAACAAAGCCTTCAATTTGAGCTTAAAAAATCATCTTCGTACCGGCACAAATTTTACCAAGCCAACAAAGTGTCCTAGGGCAGCTCACAGAAAGTAGACATAGATCAAGTCCGGCAATACTCGAACTTGCAACAAGAAGTACCTTGACCAGAATAATGTGATTTAGAGTCTAGACCAAGAAAGGCGTTTGGTATCCTATTTAAATAGAGAACTCAAGAACTTTGATTTTTCTTAAAAACAATGAGTTCTTAAATCTATTTTTAAGATTCAAAAACTTGTTTGGTATGCAACTTGAAAACTGTTTTCAAATCTTAATAATTAGGGTGTTTTTTAGTTGTTCTTGAGTTTGAATTTTTTAAAAATAGGGCTACCAGACATGTTTTCTTTGTTTTGAACTCAAATTCTGTTTTTGAGTTTAAAAAGTTGGATTTAAGTTGAATACCGAACATGCCCACTTCTTTCATCTTGCTTATGTTTGTTTTATGTTAAAGAAATAACCGTGCTTATCTTGTTTTATCATCTATCTTAAGCAAAGCCACCGTCCTATACTTAAATAAATTTATTACATATAATATTCGATTTTCTGTGTTTGTTTATTGTTGACCAAAATTGGGTAGCCAACTACACTGTATATTCAAACACCACCAAGAGACTTTCAAAAGTGTGGAGGCAATCAATCTGGGCAAAATGACTCGGATTCGGCAGATCTCTACAAACACCATCCGACCAACAAATCATAATGATCAGCTAAGTCATAGAATTGAGTTAACTCCATGGGATTTGCGCCTAATCCAACTTGATTATATCCAAAAGGGGCTTCTCTTTCAAAAACCAGCAGAGTTAGAACAGAGCAACAGCTTGATTCAACACCTACAAGCCACTCTTTCCCAAACCTTGAACATCTTCTACCCGCTTGCTGGCCGCCTAGCCGTGATTGAAAATGAAGATAACACCACTTGTTTTTCCATCAACTGTAATGGCGATGGAGCCTTGTTTGTTCATGCAGCTGCTGACGGGGTCAAAGTGGCTGATGTCCTTGACTCTGTTTATGTTCCAGATGACATTGTCAACAACCTCTTCTCTATGAAGGAGGCTTGGAACTACGAAGGCATTTCGAAACCATTGCTTGCAGCACAAGTGACTGAGCTTGTTGATGGCATCTTTATTGGTTGCAGCATAAACCACACGGCTGCTGACGGTACCTCTTTCTGGCATTTCTTCAATACTTGGTCTGAAATATCTCGTCTTGGCGGTTATGATAAAATTTATAAACCTCATCCTGTTTTGGGCCGCCAATTTCATGAAGAGGTGATTGATCTCCCAATTCACTTACCCTCCTCCTATGTCAATGAAATCAAGAGCAAGCAGCTTATAATTGGACATGGTTCATCTTCAGATTCTTTACGAAGGGTAGTGTTTCATTTTCCCAAGGAAAAAGTTGCATGGCTCAAATCCAAGGCCAATGCTGAGATGGGCACCATTGACAGTAACATTAGCATTTCATCCCTTCAAGCACTCATGGCTCATCTTTGGAGAGCGATAACACGCGGCAGACATCTGAACCCAGATCAAGAGGTTGCTTATCGCATTGCGGTGGGACTGAGGCAAAGATTGAACCCACCATTGCCAAAAGAGTACCTCGGGAATGCGCTTTTAGGCGTTATTGTCAAGTGCACTGCAGGGGAGCTGCTAGAACATGGGCTAGGCTGGGCGGCTTCCCAAATAAACAAGACAATTGCTTCCCTGACAGCTGAAGAAGCGAGGAAGTACATGGAGGATTGGGTAAAAGCTCCTACATTTCTTTCAAATGTGCTGAGGGAACCAACAAATGTGGAATTGATCACAGGAAGCTCGCCGCGGTTCAATGTGTATGGTAATGATTTTGGATGGGGAAGGCCGGTTGCTGTGCGAAGCGGAATTCCAGAGAGAAAGCTTGGGAAGCTAACAGTGTTTCCTGGTCCAGAAGATGGAAGTATTGATTTTGAAGCTTGCCTTTTGACTGAGACTCTTCGAGCTATGGCCGACGATGCAGAATTCATGGAGGCTGTGCTCACATGAAGTGCCCTGCTTTTGAAATTGGCTTGCAAATTTAAGTTTGTCAGTGTGCTTAATTTTAAGGTTGGTGAATTTTACTTTGCACATGTCCATTGAGATGTATGTTGCTTGAATCCCTCATCTTAATAAGTAGAAACTTCACCACTCTCAGATCATAATCAAACTTTACCGTCAAATTCTCATTCATAATACTAACAAACTGGTGTCCTTCCAATTAAGGGAATTTTTTTTTCAAAAAGTCAAATGCTCTCATGATAATGAGATTACTAAGTAGCTGTTACTCACGTGGTACGTAAGAAGAGGTTCCAAGTACGAATTCCTGCTCCCCTTGAGATAAAATAAAATATAAAAAAAGCCTAATCTCATGAGATTCGGGTTCGGTGAGCATCGCAACGGTGCAGGTAAGGTTAGGTGATGGGATGCAGTGAGCTGACTGTTTGGTGCTTTAGATGAATTAAATCAACATTATTTTTTTCAATGCATTCAAAAGAAATTAATTATGCTTTGGAACTTTTATTATATTATTATTATGTTTTAAAAAAAAACACCCATGCTTATCATGGCCTTTTAGAAAAAAAACACCCATCCTACTTAAAATAAATTATGTGCGTATCTGCTATTGATTTTATGCGTTGAGCCATGCGCCAGTTTGAGTATAATGGAAATGCCAAAGCCCTTTATAATGAGTACCACATTCCATCACAATCACCAAAGCTTCAACATTTTACAATCTGGGAGAAATGAATCAGATTCGGCGTATCTCGACGTGCACCATCCGACCAACAAGCCATAAAGATCAGCTACCAGCTCAGAGAATTGAGCTAACTCCATGGGACCTGCGGCTCATCCAACTTGATTACATCCAAAAGGGACTTCTCTTCCACAAACCAGCGGAGAAAGAAGCAAACCAGAGTTTGATACAACACCTAAAAGCCTCTCTTTCCCACACCTTGAACATCTTCTACCCGCTTGCCGGCCGCCTAGCCGTGACTGAAAACGAAGATAATACCACTTGTTTTTCCATCAACTGTAATGGCGATGGAGCCTTGTTCGTCCATGCAGCTGCCCATGGTATCGAAGTGTCTGATATCCTTGACTCTGTTTATGTCCCTGCTGACATTGTCTATAATCTCTTTTCCCTCAATGAGGTCCCGAACTTCGAAGGCATTTCCAAACCATTGCTTGCAGTGCAAGTGACTGAGCTATTTGATGGCTTCTTTATTGGTTGCAGCATAAACCACATGGTTGTGGACGGTACCTCTTTTTGGCATTTCTTTAACACTTGGTCTGAAATTTCTCGTATTGGCTTTGATAAAATTTCTCAACCTTGCCCTGTTTTTGGCCGTCGTGAGTGTCATGACAGCTTGATTGATCTCCCAATTCACCTACCCATGTCTTACGATGAAATCAAGACTAAGCATCTTATAATCGGACCACCCTCCTATTCGTTACAAAGCGTAGTATTTCATTTTCCCAAAGAAAAACTAGCAGAGCTCAAAGCAAAGGCCAATGCTGAAATGGTCAACAATAACATCTCAACTCTTCAAGCAC